GTGGGGGTGTTCGCATGCGGTTCCCCCACCCAGGGCAGCGTTTCGTAGCCCCATAGGGAGCTCCACCGAAGGCCCCAGTGGGGGTGTTCGCATGCGGTTCCCCCACCCAGGGCAGCGTTTCGTGGCCCCATAGGGAGCTCCACCGAAGGCCCCAGTGGGGGTGTTCGCATGCGGTTCCCCCACCCAGGGCAGCGTTTCGTGGCCCCATAGGGAGCTCCACCGAAGGCCCCAGTGGGGGTGTTCGCATGCGGTTCCCCCACCCAGGGCAGCGTTTCGTGGCCCCATAGGGAGCTCCACCGAAGGCCCCAGTGGGGGTGTTCGCATGCGGTTCCCCCACCCAGGGCAGCGTTTCGTGGCCCCATAGGGAGCTCCACCGAAGGCCCCAGTGGGGGTGTTCGCATGCGGTTCCCCCACCCAGGGCAGCGTTTCGTGGCCCCATAGGGAGCTCCACCGAAGGCCCCAGTGGGGGTGTTCGCATGCGGTTCCCCCACCCAGGGCAGCGTTTCGTAGCCCCATAGGGAGCTCCACCGAAGGCCCCAGTGGGGGTGTTCGCATGCGGTTCCCCCACCCAGGGCAGCGTTTCGTGGCCCCATAGGGAGCTCCACCGAAGGCCCCAGTGGGGGTGTTCGCATGCGGTTCCCCCACCCAGGGCAGCGTTTCGTAGCCCCATAGGGAGCTCCACCGAAGGCCCCAGTGGGGGTGTTCGCATGCGGTTCCCCCACCCAGGGCAGCGTTTCGTGGCCCCATAGGGAGCTCCACCGAAGGCCCCAGTGGGGGTGTTCGCATGCGGTTCCCCCACCCAGGGCAGCGTTTCGTGCCCCATAGGGAGCTCCACCGAAGGCCCCAGTGGCCCTCGCATGCGGTTCCCCCACCCAGGGCAGCGCTTCGTGGCCCCATGGGGAGCTCCACCGAAAGCCCCCGTGGCGCAGTTCGCATGCGCTTCCCCCACCCAGGGCAGCGTTTCGTGGCACCATAGGGAGCTCCACCGAAGGCCCCAGTGGCGCAGTTCGCATGCGGTTACCTCACCCAGGGCAGCGTTTCGTAGCCCCATAGGGAGCTCCACCGAAGGCCCGCCCCGGTGGCGCAGTCCGCATGCGGTTCCCCCACCCAGGGCAGCGTTTCGTAGCCCCATAGGGAGCCCCACCGAAAGCGGCACCCACAACGCGTTACCAACAATTGCTTATGGTTGGGTCTTTCGGCAGGATAATTTTTTTCGCAGCACAACATCGATCCCCAGAGGTCTGGGCCCCTTCCCTTTGGACTGGCTTCTCATCCCGAGTCGATGCTTGACGGCCCAGGGGGCCCAGCAAAGGCCTTTGGAGGCCGAAGATAAGGAAAAACCTACCGTCGTGATTTTGTTCACGGCGCGAGGGGGTCCGGGAAGGAGTAGGGGGGCGAAGGAGAAGGAGGGGTGGCATCAAGGTTCGCGCACGTTTCGCGCCGCGGGGGCACGGGTCTCGCTCCGACCAGAACAGTTACCAGGCGCATCCCGCCAGGGTCGCATGGTCCGCGGGGGCGAGGCCTTTTCCCACACTGCCAGTCGGAGCGCAGACGCTGCAGAAGCAGGGCCACGACACCTCGCCCAAAAAGTCAGCCAGACCACCCCAGGCCCCGCCCAAAATCAAAGAAAGACAGACCACTCAAAATCAGGCCAAACCCGCCCAATAGTAAAACAGGTATCCCGGCAGAGCAACCCGGACAACTTCAAGTAGAACAGGCCCCGCCCAAAAGTAAACCAAATTACCCACCCAAGCAAGGCAAATCACCTAGAAGTAGACCGACCAGACCCCGCCCATACGTAAATTGGACCACCCATCCAAGCAGGCCAGACCACCCGACAGTCATACAAAAGTAGACTACACTCCGCCCACACAAATTAACCAGACCACCCATCAAAGCAAGCCAGCCAACCCAGAAGCAGACGAGAACCCGTCAAAAAGTAGACCTGATCACCGATCCGAACAAGTCAAACCACCCAAAACTAGACCAGACCCCGCCCCTCAGTAAGACAGACCACCCAACCACCTGAAAGTACACCCGATCCCGCCCAATGGAAAACCAAACCACCCATGCAAGGAAGCAAGCCACTACACCCAAAAGTAGACCAGACCCCGCCCAGAAATAAACCAAACCACTCACCCAAGCAAGGATGTAGACCAGACCCCGCCCAAAGGTAAACCAGATCTCCGGTCCAAGCGGGCCAGAAGCAGACGAGAACCCGCTCATACGTAAACTGGACCACCCACCCAAGCAGCTTAGGTCACCCAAAAGCAAACCAGACTCCGCACGGCAATTGACTTGACCACCAAGCAAAACAGGCCAGGCCACCCAAAAGTTCACCCCACCCCACCCACACACATTGACCAGACCATCAATCAAAGCAAACCAGGCCACCCAACATTAATTCGCACGAAGAATATCCGACCATCAACGAGTACCCCGACCACTCACAAGAAAACCAACCTCACCCAATGGTACACCAAACCACCCGTCAACGTTAAGCAGACCACCCAACAATAAACCAGACCACCCAAAAGTGAACCAGACCACCCATCGAAGTAAGGCAGTCCACCCATCAACGTAAGCCATACCCCGCCCAAAAGGAAAAAAGACAACCCCCAATGTGAAGCTGACGCAGCCCACAAGTAAACCAGACCAGCCGATAGTACTCTGCGCCATGCCCAGAAGTGAACCCGACCCACCCAACAGTAAACCAGACCACCCATCAACATAAAAACAAGGCCACCCATGCAAGCAAGCAAGCCACTCCACCCAAAAGTAGACCAGACCCCGCCCAACAATAAACCAAACCACCCACCCAGGCAAGGATGTAGACCAGACCCCGCCCAAAGGTAAACCAGATCTCCGGTCCAAGCGGGCCAGACGCAGACGAGAACCCGCCCATACGTAAATTGGACCACCCACCCAAGCAGCTTAGGCCACCCAAAAGCAAACCAGACTCCGCACGGCAATTGACTTGACCACCAAGCAAAACAGGCCAGGCCACCCAAAAGTTCACACCCCACCCACACACACATTGACCAGACCATCAATCGAAGCAAACCAGGCCACCCAACATTAATTCGCACGAAGAATATCCGACCATCAACGAGTACCCCGACCACACACAAGAAAACCAACCTCACCCAATGGTACACCAAACCACCCGTCAACGTTAAACAGACCACCCAACAGTAAACCAGACCACCCAAACGTGAACCAGACCACCCATCGAAGTAAGGCAGTCCACCCATCAACGTAAGCCATACCCCGCCCAAAAGGAAACAAGACCGTCCCCAATGTGAAGCTGACGCTGCCCACAAGTAAACCAGACCAGCCGATAGTAATCTGCGCCATGCCCAGAAGTGAACCAGACCCACCCAACAGTAAACCAGACCACCCATCAACATAAACACAAGGCCACCCATGCAAGGAAGCAAGCCACTACACCCAAAAGTAGACCAGACCCCGCCCAGAAATAAACCAAACCACTCTCCCAGGCAAGGATGTAGACCAGACCCCGCCCAAAGGTAAACCAGATCTCCGATCCAAGCGGGCCAGACCACTCAGAAGCAGACGAGAACCCGCCCATACGTAAACTGGACCACCCACCCAAGCAGCTTAGGCCACCCAAAAGCAAACCAGACTCCGCACGGCAATTGACTTGACCACCAAGCCAAGCAAGCCAGGGCACCCACAAGATCACCCAACCCCACCCACACAAATTGACAAGACCACCAATCAAAACAAACCAGGCCACACAACAAAAGAGTGCAGACTCCACCCAGAAGTACCATACCACCCATCTAGGCAAATCAGGCCCCCCCCCCTACATTAATTCGCACGAAGTATACCCGACCGTCAACGAGTACCCCGACCACTCACAAGAAAACCAACCTCACCCAATTGTACACCAAACCACCCGTCAATGTTAACCAGACCACCCAACCGTAAACAAGACCACCCAACAGTAGACCAGACCACCCATCGAAGTAAGGCAGTCCACCCATCAACGTAAGCCATACCCCGCCCAAAAGGAAAAAAAACCACCCCCAATGTGAAGCTGACGCAGCCCACAAGTAAACCAGACCAGCCGATAGTAATCTGCGCCATGCCCAGAAGTAAACCAGACCCACCCAACAGTAAACCAGACCACACATCAACATACAAACCAGGCCACCCAGTAGCTACCCTATCCTCCACCCCTTACTTCTCCCCCCAATCGCTCCATCTCGCTCCATCTTGCCCCATATCCCTCCATCTTGCCCCATATCCTTTCACATCCCTCCGTCTCCCTCCATCTCCCTCGTCCCTTTTCCCTTCCTTAAATTGGATTGAAGCTGACCGCCTCCATGCCGCCGCGGCGTCGGCGCACGCGACGGTGACATTGCGAGGGCGATGACGCGACCGATGGCGCGGCGGCGGCGACGTCGTCGTCGGCGGCGGCGATGCTTATTGTAATGAATGTGGGATTGGTGGACTGGCCAGTAAGGGAATAGGGAGTTATACGTGGATGCGAAGATGGGTTGTATTTGGTTTAACTTGTGTTATAAGCGGATTATAAATGCCCCAAGTTGCTTAAAAGGGTCAGGTAGCTCCGGCATGTAGGCTCCCCATTTAGCCCAGATACTTGCCCCCTGTTAGCCGCTTAGAGCAGACGCAACCCACTCATAAGCTAGGTTAGGTCCGATAGCATGTACCTTCACATCAACTGAGAAAGCCCCCGCCCTCCCATCGGCAACCCCCGCGGCCGTCCAAGCGGAGCCAACATCTATCCATATGCACCGCCCCGTGCTGTCCCAGGGCGTCGCTGCAATAAGAAGGATTCTTTTGGGCTCAAGGGGGGGGGGCTCCGATTTTCGGGCCGATCACTAGATTTCTATCGTGGAACCTGTCTGTTGCCTCGGCACGCCGTGGCCAGAAAAGCCCCCTCGTTGTTTGAACCTGCTCTCTTTGTGGCAGCACGATGAGTGTATGGATATGCCCCCCGCCTCGCCAAGGAACTGGGCGTGCGGCTGGTCAAGGCCGTGCTGCGCTTCAAGCTGCGCGAGCTGATCGCGCTGGTCGCCGTCCGCGCCGCCATCCGCCTCGCGGTTTCGCGCGGCGGGTTGGCCCTCGCCGAGGTGGTGGCCCGCGCCAGGGCGCTGCTGCCGGCGGCGGCTGCCGCACTGCCGGGAGAGCTGGCCGGCTGCCCCGCGCCAATCGGGGAGCCACATTCGGAGGACCGCGGGGGGTGCTGAGTTGCGTGGTCCTACATGGGCGCCTCAGAGGGTCACAGAATCCCTGCGGCGTCGGGGGTTTCGTCCAGGCTTCGTCTGAGTCGATCGACATTTGGGCGAAGTCTGGGCGAAGTCTGACGGAGTCTGGACGCAAGGGTGAGGAGGGGGGGGGTCGAAGTGTGGACGCACTCTGGTCGGAATCGCGCCGAATGGGGCCGCAGAGGTCCACGCAGGCTCCCGCGAGGGCTCCAGGAAGGCCCAGGGCGTAGGAGGTCGGAGGCGCTTCTGGTCTACGCCCCTTGGGGCCTCGGGGAGGCCCCTCGTCGCCACGGCGGGATCCGCCTCGCACCTCCGGGTCGGGGCGCGCCTCTGGACAGAGGTCGGGGGACCGACTTCAGGAGCTACCTCCTTTTCTAGCCACTCAGGGCATGTCTCACCCACCCGTGAGCCAGGCTAGGCCCAACAGAACCGACCCCCGCATCCACTTGCAACCCCCTTCTCCCCTTAGCAAACACCGCGGCCGTCCAAGCAGGATGGTGCGCTCGAGGCAGCGCCGTGGCCGGCGGGCCCCGTCTTCTCCGGCCCTTGCCACCTGCCGGGCGCGAGCAGCGGGGCTCCCTGCGACGACCCGTCGCCGCCGAATGCACGGCCGAAGCTGATGCCGGCGGGCGGGGAGGCGCCGGCCGTTGGGTCGGGTGTCGCTAGAAGTGCCCCTGGGTCAAGCTGCCCCCAGGATTCTCGGGGTAGCCCGAACGGCCTCCAAAGCACCCCTCGCGAGGTCCAGAGGGACCCAGGGGGTGCAAATTTGAGCGAAAAGCTGGGGGCACCTTGGGGCAAGGGTACTTCTAGAGCAACACCCGATTGGGCGCGAATTGATGGGGGGCGATAAGTGAGGGGGCAGCGAGGGCTGCAGAACAGGGACCCTCGAGGGCCCCCAGGGGGCCCCGCAGGGGGCCGCATAGGGGGCCTTTCGGGCCAGAAAAGGACGCCTTTTTCTCCCCCCCCCTTCCATTTCCGGCGGCGAGCCCTGGGAGGAAGTGAGAAGGAGAAGGCCTTCTCAGAAGGCTCGGAAGTTCCCGGCCATTGCGAGAAGCTAGGCGTTCCCCGAAACCGTAGAAACATTTCTCCGAAGGCGCGAGAGTTACTGAGAAGTCCCACCGCCTCCTGAGAAGGCCTTCTCCTTCTCACTTCACCCCCGGGCTCGCCGCCGACATTGATCGCCTCCCATTAAGTCGTGCCCGAGGCCAAGGACGAGCTGCAGGAGGTCGACTAGCGCCCTGAGGCCAGCTGGTCCAGCGACGCGCCGAGAGCGGTCAAGGCACGCTAGGGTGCCTTGGGCGCGCGGCCCCACGGTTTCTCGGACGTCTCCCGTCGGTTCTCGGGGGCTCTCCTGCCTCGGGATACGTTCCAGCAGCTGCGCCTCGCCGAGAGCCGAGGCGGGAAGGCATACATCACCACCGCCCGGACGGTCGACTGCCGCGACCTCCACAGGCGTGCGTAGACATGGATCGATTCGGGCACCTGGGGGGCAATACATATAAATATATATGCATATATATATATATATATATATATAAGTGTGTATGTGTGTATGTATGTATGTATGCATGCATGCATGCATGCATGCATACATACATGCATGCATGCATGCATGCATGCATGCATGTATGCATGCATGTATGTATGTATGTATGTATGTATGTATGTATGTATGTATGCATGTATGTATGTTTGTATGTATGTATGTATGTATGTATGTATGTATACGCGTGTATGTATGTATGTATGTATGTATGTATGTATGTATGTATGTGTGTATGTGTATGTATGTGTGCATGTATGTATGTATGTATGCATGCATGCATGCATGTATGTATGTATGTATGTATGTATGTATGTTTGTATGTATGTATGCATGCATGCATGCATGCATGCATGTATGCATGTATGTATGTATGTATGTATGTATGCATGCATGTATGTGTGTAGGTGTGTACGTGTGTATGTATGTATGCATGCATGCATGCATGCATGCATCCATGCATGTATGTATGTATGTATGTATGTATGTATATGTATATGTATATGTATATGTATATGTATATGTATATGTATATGTATATGTATATGTATATGTGTATGTATGTATGTATGTATGTATGTATGTATGTATGTATGTATGTATGTACGTTTGTATGTATGTATGTATGTATGTATGCATGCATGCATGCATGCATGCATGCATGCATTTATGTATGTATGTATGTATGCATGCATGTATGTATGTATGTATGTATGTATGTGTGTGTGTCTGCATGTATGTGTGTATGTATGTATGTATGTATGTATGTATGTATGTATGTATGTGTGTATGTATGTATGTATGTATAAATGTATGTATGTATGCACGCATGCATGCATGCATGCATGCATGCATGCATGCATGCATGCATGTATGTATGTATGTATGTATGCATGTATGTATGTATGTATGTATGTATGTATGTATGTACATATACATATAGTTAGAGAGAGTGAGAGAGAGTCCTCTTCCTATATGTGTATAAGCCCGGGCGGTGGGAAAACCCGTCATCCCCCCATCCAAAGCGGATTCCCAGGATCTGGGGCTTTGGGACCCTCCGGACGGGCCTCGAAGCGGCCACCGGGCCTCGCAGGGCGTTTTGCCAAGCCTTCCCAGCACACCTAGGGCGATCAGGGGGGTCATCGGAGGCGTCCCAGAGACCCCAAAGACAGCACAAGAGCGCTCCAAGAGTGACCGACGTGACCTCAAGATGGCCCAAGAGGCCTCCAGGACGGCCCCAAAGAGGCCTCCAAGAGCACTCCCAAGAAGGCCCCCGACGCAAAAATCAGTGATTTTCTGTTGGTTTTTGGTGAATTTGGGGGTTCTCCTCTTTTCGGCTTCCCGACGCTCCAAGACGGCGGTCTTCTGGGCGTCCGAAGCCGCCTGGGAGGCTCCAAAATCGCCCCACAACCATCCCAAAGGGCTTCCAGGCAGTCCAAGAGAGCCCCAAAACGGCACAACACGGGTCCAAGATGGCCCTCAGACACCCTCCGAAGAATTCCAAATCGTGATTCGGTCGTTCAGGGAGACCGCGGTTTGAGGCAGGGTGGTCCGAGGAAGCCCCTGGAGGCCCCCAGAGTACGCCCAGGAGGCCTCCAGAAGGCCTCAAGAAAGCCTGAAACAACTTTTGTGAGGCCCCTAGAGGCTCTCCAAGGAGGAGCCTCCGCAAAAAGAGCTGAGGAGGATGGGGAGAATGCGCAGGGTATGGCCAAAATAAGGAAAAAGAAACATTGAGGAAGGATAGCGAATAACATTATTATAGCGGCGATGCCGGAAAAGGCAACCAGGAGTTATCGCCAAATTGTCGGCTTAATTGTCCTGCCATTTCGCCTGCATGCCAACCTGCAAGGACCAAGGTGCATGGCGCGAAGCGCCACTTGCAGTCTTGTGTGTATATATATATGTGTACATACATACATACATACATACATACATACATACATACATACATACATACATCCACCCACCGCCCGCCGGGGTCCCCGGGACGTCGGCTCCCGGGCGGTGGACATGGACGGCTCCCCGCCCTGCGCGAGAGCGCCCCGGAGGTCCTCCCGACCGACCGCCAGAGGCCCGGGCTGCAGTGGCCCGAAAGCCGCGCGGCACGTCGCTGGAGGGCCCTATTCGGGGTGAGCCAAAAGGGGGTCCAGCTGAACGGGGGTGGTGCAAAATAGATTTGGGGCTTCACTGCACGCCCCACATGTGCTGCAACCCCTCGGATCTGTTGCACCGAACCTATGGCACCACCCCCTTGTCGCTGGACCCCCTTCGGGGTCAACCCGACCTCTGGTGCGCCGCTCTGGGGAGGGCGCCGAGGCGGCAGGCGCCGGCAAGCGGCCGCTGCCGCCGCATGCCGGGAGCGGCGAGCGGCGCCGTCGAGGGCCACGTTGGCCCCGCGTCGCCCCGTGCGTGCCGCCCGGTGGGCGGTCGCCGGCAGGGCGACCCCGATCGCACCACTGTGCAGGGGATCGGTGCCGTCTGGGCCAGAAAGGTCGTCGGCAGTGGGGCGAGGGCACGACTCGCCGCCCCGCCACCCAAAAAAGAAAATGCACGGACAGCCTGCACTGGACTGCTCCTGGGCCTCAGGTGAGGGTGGCGGTGTATAAATTGCCACTGGGAGTCAGCGACTTTCTGCACCGTCGCCCTCCCTGTGGGTACGTGCAGAAGCCGTCGGAGGCTGTCTGCGTACATGGCTTCGTGGTGTAGACTCCTGACTACACATCATTCGGAGGTCTCAGGGCGAGTGGTTTGCCAGGACGGGCGGTCCAGGGCTCCCCGCCTCCCCCCTCCTTGTGGCACTCTTCTGTGGCCCTCCTTGCTTCTATGTTGGAGCCTTTTAGCGACTGGGGAAGTACAGCCAAACCGCATAGCAAGGGATGAGCATTTTTCCGGGTTGCCCTTGCATCCTTACCCGTCGGCCCATCCTTGGCCGCTTTCGCTGGCCGCGCCTCGCCCGCAGAGTTTCGACATGGCTTTCCAAGGCCCTTGCATCCACATCGTGCGACCTTATGATCCGGGTTGTCTGTAAACGGCTTTGAGGAAGAAAACCGCTTCGAAGTGCAGCCTCCCCGGCCGCAACAAGATGTCTCTCGACCAGGCCTGAGGTGCGTTGCGGCAATCGCGTCGCATCGCCAGCTGCTGAATCGTGTTGTCTGCTCTCATCTTCTCCCCCCCAAAGCAAAAAAATAATAGAACCCTCTAGCGAAAAGCAATTGGGTTCTTGCTCCCACTAGTTGGGCTCTTGTTTCACCAAGCGCGTTCAACTACTCGCAAAGTACCTACTCGCAAAAGGTCCCAAAGACAACCGTCTGCCTCGCTGTTGTGGATCGCAAACCTCCCCCAGCGGCTCCCTGCCGTTTGCGAGTACGGTGGGGGCGTTCGTTAAGGAATGCGCCCATTTAGATCAGACCCTGGAGGATTCCTTCTCTGACGAGGGCGGCGATGATATCCATGGCCACCCCACGATTGGGGTCCCACGGGCTTCTAGACCCCGCGTTCTTCCTCGAATACTTCCTTCTCCAATGCCCTCACCGTAGCTACTCGGCGAGTCGTGGAGCGCGCTCGTCTGCTGTTGGGCCGCGCCCCTGCCGGGCTCTTGCCTGGCCGCGCCCGCAGGCGGAGCAGCCGCGCCCCGCGTGGCCCGAGCCGCCCGAGCCAGCGGCGCCGGCGGCGGGGCGCACCGCGCCCACGGCGCGCGGCCGGCGCCTGGACGCGCTGCTGGCGGAGCCGGTGGTGCGCAGGCCAGCGTGCCGATGCACCGCCAGAGTATTCTTTGAGTCGGGCGTGTCCCTCCACAGGAGGAGTATGCAAAAATTGTCAAAACAAATTGAATCAACATATTATGGGGACGAATTTGTCTAATTATTTTTGGTTATGTTTGGATATGTTTGAGTTTCTTTTTCGTCCAAAATCCGCCTGTAGGAGGACACGCCCGGCCTAAGAGTATTCTCGTCGTTGCTTCGTCTTACAGTGGAGACCCATGCCAGGAAACACCCTGGTTGCCTCCAGGGTGCCCCTGGGTTATTCTTGGGTTCCGATGGGCTTGCTACGGAAAGCGTGGCGCTCCCTCACCAAGAATCAATGGACGTCCTGGGGTCTCAGGGTAGGGTTTATTGTGGGAGGTTTCTTGTGGACTAGCCTCCTCTGCACCGCTCGCCCGAAGAGCACGAAGCCACCTTCCAGGTGGCCCGCGCTTCGGCCCCGCCCCTTCTCCTGGCAAGTTATCCAGAGCTTCGCGCACTGCCTATGGGCAACGTCGCCCGAGCCCGACTGGAGGCCGAGGCCGAGCTGCCTCGGCACGCCCGTGTTGCAATGCAGCTCGCGCCATGCTCAAAGCGTCCGTGTTGACACGTTGTGTGTTGGCTCGGCACGTGTGGGCCCACATTTTGGCCGAAGGTGTCGCGCCAGGCCTACGCCTGCAATCTGCGTGTTGAGCTGCGTGTCAGCACGCTGCGTGCCGCGTGTTCTGTGACGGGGCAGCTAAGGTCTCGACTGCACGTAAGAGTGACCTTTCGCCAGAGTGACCTGTGGTGCGGGCCCAGTGGGGTTCCCCGATCGCCGAACGCGATGCGCCAGCAGAGTCTTGCGCGCTTGTGACGCTTGTGTCTGGGCCCCCCTGCGGCCCCCAGAAAGCCGCGCACCAGAGGTCACTCTTACCCAGGGTCACTCAGTGCGTGTAGTCGAATCAGAACTGGGTCCCGAGGGAAGCGGGTCCTGAGGTGTCTCGCCGTCGCAGGGCGCCCGGGGCCCTCCGCGGGCCCCGGGGCGGTCAGGAAAGGACCCAGGATGAACAGCTCGTCCTGGGGGGATGCCCCAGGGGTCCAGGACCCGTCTCCCCCGGGACCCGCCTCCCCCGTGTTGAAAGTAGGTCCACATCCACCGCTTCAGAGTCGGGCTTGGGGGCCTCGAGGAGTGGTGGACGTGGATGGCTGCCCGCCCGCGTGGGCGGGCAGCTATCTATACCCGCTGCTCCCCGAGTCCCCGGAGGACGGCGCCGCGGCAGCGGATGTGGACACATTGGGGCCGCGCAGCCGGGGGCCTCTGCGATCCCACTTGGATGACCGCGTGGGGTCGCTAAGAGGATCGTTGCTTCCGCCGCTCCAGTGTTCGGAGCCCGTTGGGGGAAGGCGGAGCGACAGCACCTTGAACCAGGGAGGCCACCTCCAGCGTTCGGAGCCCGTTCTTGGGAGCCTTGGGCGGTGAGAATGAAATCAGCTTCTCCTGCATGTGGACCGCATTTGGACCGCCTTTGGCCCTTCCTCCTGCTCCTCCTCGCCCTTCCTGTTGCTTCTGCCCCTCGCGTTCTTCTCGTTCTTCTCGTCTCTCCTGTGAAGTAGCGAATATGGTCCAAATCCGGTCCCAGATATGCTCCAAATCCGGTCCAAACCCGGCCCACATCGGACAGCGAGGAGGGTCACGCAGGCTCCAATGGAACGGGCACCAAAGAAGTCGGGGGAAGGAGAAGCGACATCACCACCACCACCACCACCACCACCACCACCACCACCACCACCACCAGGAGAGCAACCTCCAGCGAGGCGGTCCACGATGCCTCCCCGAGCTAGGGAAGGGGATGTTGGGGGCCTCTGGGGCCGTCTTGGAGCGTCGAAGGCCCGAGGAGACGAGCACATGAATAGTATTCAAACGCTGCGGGCAATGAATGATCTTGGTACCTCGGGGACCTCTTCGGGGGCCCCTTGGAGCTCTTTGGGGCGTCTCGGGGGCCTCTTGGGCCGTCTTGAAGCCATCATGGGCGTCTTGGAGCGATCCCTGTGCCACCCGGAGCCATCTTGGACAGTTTTGGGGGTCTCTTGGGGGCTCGTTGGCCCTTCAGAGGGGCCCTCGGGCCCCTGGAAAGTCACGTATGTGCGCCCAGAAGATTTGAGATTTGGGGCTCCCTGCTCCGAAGTAGAATATCGTCCCAGTGCGACCCTACCTAGGAGTTGGAGCCCCTAGGAGAGCAGCATTAGTAGCTAAGCTAAAGCTAAGCTACAGCTAAGCTACAGCTAAGCTAAAGCTAAAGCTAAGCTAAAGCTAAGCTAAAACTAAGCTACAGCTAAGCTACAGCTAAGCTAAAGCTCAGCTACAGCTAAGCTACAGCTAAGCTACAGTTAAGCTAAAGTTAAGCTACAGTTAATATACAGTTAAGTTAACGTTAAGCTAAAGTTCAGCTAACGTTAAGCTAAAGCTAAGCTGAAGCTAAGCTAAAGCTAAGCTAAAGCTAAGCTAAAGCTAAACCACAGCTAAGCTAAAGCTAAGCTAAAGCTAAAGCTAAAGCTAAGCTAAAGCTAAAGTTAAAGCTAAAGCTAATGCTAAAGCTAAAGCTAAGGCTAAAGCTAAGGGGATGTAACTGGGGGAACCGCGGGGCGGATCCTGGGGGAACCGCCCGGGGCGAGGAACACTGCCCGGCCCCTTTAAAACAGAGAGTAAGAACCCTTCTAGGCAGAGCCTAGGTTGAGATAAGCAACGCTAAGCTAAGGGGACGTCACTGGGGGAGCCGCGGGGCGGATCCTGGGGGAACCGCCCGGGGCGAGGAACACTGCCCGGCCCCTTTAAGACAGAGAGTAAGAACCCTCTAGGCAGAGCCTAGGTAGGGAATTACAATACCGAGTGAAGAGTACACAGACTCGATCAGCCTGGGGAGCCCTCCACTTCGCGCCTTGAGGCACAGTGGCGGATAACTCCCGCTAACTGCTAGTAACTCGATTAGGCCTTCAAGTAACCGCCACCGCGGTCATCCAAGTGAGATCCCAGACCCCCTCGAGGTGTGAAAGAGTCACGGCGGAACTTGGGATCCTGGCGCCGCAATTGTTTCGAGCCGGGCGGGGCTTTCGGTGGAGCTCCCTGTGGGGCCCCGAATCGTGTGTGGGGTGTGCCAAATCGGGTGCGGGTGCGTCATGCGGACGCTGCCGCTGGAGCATTCGTTGGAGCTCCCTGTGAGGCCACGAAACGTGTAAGGGTTGTGCCGGATGTGGCACGGATACGCCATGCGGACTGTGCCGCTGGAGGCATTCGACAGAGCTCCCTGTGGGGCCACGGATCGTGTGATGGGTGTGCGCAATCGGGTGCGGGCTCGCCATGCGGTCTGTGCCGCTGTGGCATTCGGCGGAACATCTATGGGGCCACGAAACGTGTGAGCAGTCTGCCGAACCGAGTGTGGGTGCACCATGCGGACGCTGCCGCTGGGGCCTATTGCGGAGCTCCCTAAGGGGCCACAAAAAGTTTGGGGGTGTGCCGAATCGGGCGCGGGCACGCCATGCGGACGCTGCCGTTGGGGCCTTCGGTGGAGCTTCCTGTGGGGGCACGAAACGTGTGAGGGATGTGCCGAATCGGGCGCGGGTACGCCATGCGGGCGCTGCCGCTGGGGCCTTCGGTGGAGCTTCCTGTGGGGCCGCAAAACGTGTGAGGGGTGTGCCGACTCGGGCGGAGAATACGCCATGCGGACGTTGCCGCTGGGGCCTTCGGTGGAGCTCCCTATCGGGTCGTGAAAAG